GGTGGCAGGGGCCGCTCCACGGCAGCTCCCGGCAGCAGCACGCCGGGCTCCGGCGCTGCAAACGCGGCTGCTCACACCGACTGCTGGAAAGAGCTGCCGGGATCCAAGGCTGAGCCAGTCCAGCCTGAGGTCCTACCATGTGTAACCCACTGAGTCCTCTTTCCTTGCCAGCAAATAAATAATTACCTGCCTGAGAGAGATGCACAAGTAGGGGAATAACCCCGGAGTCCCTTGGGACCTGACAGTACCTTACAGTGTGGTTAAGAAGATTTGACTGCATGAAATTCCACAGAGCTACAGGGGTTTTTTATCATTCTTCTAATAAGTCTCTGCATTATCAAATATATATTTTATTCTTTCTTTGGAGCAAGTTTGAAAATGTTCAGAATAATAAACAGAGCAATAAAAGCATTTCAGAATATTAATAACTACGACACACTACCTAGCAATAGCACTGGGCATTTACACACAACTGATGCCAACTGCCACTCTTGATTTTACATGTTGTTTTGGCACAGCACCCCAGTCAACCCTGAACACATGCCATGCTGTATTTTTTAAGCCACTCTGCCCGTAGCACAGGTCTGATATCCTGAGATCCCCAGGCTCTTTTCCAAGAAGATGAATGCTCCCAACTCCCCAGCAGTCCTCCATGCTGCACAGAACAAGGCCCCTGGAAAGCAAAGCTCTTGAGGAGCAGACCATGCTCTTCTCCACGGAGATTTAACATAAGCAGCACTTCACAGATTATTTTAATTTTCCCTCTAAAAAAAAAAATCTGATTAGCAACAGGCTTTTCCCCTGGGGTTTTGGTAAAAGGAAACCACAATCAATTACCAAAACATACTGATTAAAAATTTATCCTTCCAGACTTCTAAGTGCCAAAACACACAGTGAATTCTTGATTACCTCAGAAGGTCTGAGTGCTTACTGCTGAAACTGGTCACCACTGCTCCAAAAACACAAGTCCCATCACTGAAACCATGGGAGAAGTTGGAATTTGAAGGCCTGGACTGGCAGCTGAGCAGCCTGCAGCACAACTGCCAGAGACTTTACAAACAGCCCCAAGCTCTGGATACAACATCCAGCAGACAGCACAGCAGAGAGGTTTTGTAACACTCTTCATCAGCATGAGGCTGCTGAGCTAAACCTGAAATGACTACAAGGGTTAAACAATGGCAGTGACTTCCTACCCTTCCAACAGCGTCCATGCAACTCGCATGGCCATAGACAAATCCACCACTGTGAGTCCCAGTGAGATGGAGGAAGGAGCCCCGGCATCGCTTGCAGAGCAGTCACACAATGATCTATTTGATTACTGAAGCACTTGGTTAAATTACTGTGGCTTGTTTCAGGAGGAGACTGCCAAATACATTTTCAGTTTTTAATTTAGGGTTTCTCTCTTTTATGCTCCATTGTCTCTAATAGCCTCCTAGATGCTTGAAAATAAAGTTGATTTCCCTGCCAATTTAATCCTCTCTCCATGTGACAAATATCGTTATTCCCCCAGCTGCTTTCTCCCCCACACACTGTTTTTATGCAGAATAAGCCAACAGGGCATTAATGTCTTTACATCCTCTAACAGCATTATCAATAAGATCACCAAAATAGCCAGCAATTTGGGACAAGATTCTTGAGGTCTTCTTTCCACAACAACTCTGTAAGATAACACACTCCTGCACAAACTGTGGCTTACATAAATCTGCCCGCCTATGCAGATATATCACACCTTTTTAAGTTCCTACTTGGCAGCAACTTCAACATGCAGGCTAAGACAGCTCCGCTTTGGAAATAAAGAACTGCTGTTTTACTGACATTAGGATACAAAAAGCCCCACGGATAAGTCCCAACACATGGCTGTACCCTTCGTGGCTTGCTCTTGTCCCATTTGCAGTTTCCTTCCTCCTGTCTTTCCTAATCCCTCCAGGAGCCCATCTCCAGGCATCAGAAAAAGACAGAGAATCAAAGTTTTTTAAAAAAGTTAACTGGATCTGGAACCCACCTACTTTCCACCTAGTGCCCGTTACCAGGAAAAAGGAAATGACCACACAAGAATTTGTTCAAACAGCATTATTATCATTCAGAGAACGCTGCCCTTGTCAACTACAGAGCACAGCTTGTTTTATCCATGTAAATATTTGCAAGTATTTCTTCATATAATTTTCTACCTCCCTTCACCTCTGGGATATATATAAAAATGCCTAAACACTTAAAATATAGCTGGGCCCAATGTCCCAGAGAGAAGCAGCTGCTCTGCAAAAAAGAGGACAAAGACAAAAATAACCTAGAAAGAAAGGAAGAATGGGTAAGAGAGGCCAAAATGGCCAAAAATAAGCTTGCCGGCTAATGAAATCAGTTAAAATGGGGTTAGAAGTGCAGGTCTTCAAGCAGTGTTCATAATACTCTGGGGAAAGATCTGTAGTAAGTGATGGACATGTGGGGTAAGGTAAGCAACAGGATGCACCGAGTAGAACTGAGCTGTTTTATTTCTCTAATCATTATAATTCTGGCTGCATGAGGGCAGCAGGGAACATACTACATATATCTTTATTTACCCAGAGACAGATGAATTAAACTCTCTTAGTGTGAATGAGGAAAACACATGTCATTAGGAACAATGTAAAATTGCAAGAATTCACCAAATTTCTTATTCACATGTTTCTGATATGATTATACTGATTCCTCACCGCTACAAATTCTCACCTGGAAATCTTACGCAGAGGTGTCTCCAGCTATCCCTTACTGTCAGACATTAACCCCACATCTGCTTACATCATCCCTGCGCTTGGTGTAAATGTCACTAGAGCAGAAGCCTCACAATTCAGTGTCTGTTCTTCAATCGCTCCAATCCACAACCAGCCCAAAAACCAAAACCTCCCTGTCACTCAATGCACATGAGAACAGCAGGTTGCAAACCAGGGGAGCTGGCAAGTGGACACACTGTCCCTTCTGCCACTCCTGTCACAGGGATAGCAGCACCTGAAAAACAAGGCAGCGTGAAAAGCTGGGAGCAGTAACGTGTCAGATGAATCTGGAAGGAATGACTGGAGTTGACGAGTTTGAACCCTGAGACTGAGCCAGATCTTCAGGGAAAGATTTATCCTTTAGGATAAATCCAGCTCCTAGTGAAGTCTACAGAAGTCTTCCCAGCAACTTCAAGTGGGAACAGATTAGGCCACCTACAACTGCACCACTGACAACCATCGGGCTAGAAAAATCATTCTTTGATATTAAACCCCACCTTCCCCTGATAGAAATAAACATCTCATGTAATAACCTCTTCTTCTTGAGCATCTGATCATGATTTGAGCACCACCAATGTGGTGGATATCAGTGTATATTTTAAGTTTACAGAACACTGAAGAAAACAATGCTCTAACCCCCAAGTTTATAAACTAACTAAATGAGTGTTTTGGCATTTCTTTACTATCTTCCAGTTAAGGATCTTAAGTGTTTTAACAGTCCTGGAATTTAATGCTGAACTCTCTTGTGATGCATGAAAATATCACTACTACTTCACTAGCAACAGGGGAAAGTTAAGCAACACGACTAAACTCACAAAGCAAATCAGCATCAGGTCATGTTTCTGGATTCCTAGTCCTGTCCTTAACCACCAGATAACACTACTGCAGTGCTCCTATTACATTTGAATTACACATACTTATGTCCAAGCATCAAAAACGCTTCTACCAATCTCTAATTACTTCCAGGCACAGCAAGAAGATTTCAGGCCTGAACATTCACAGCACATAGATTATGGTATTAGCCATTCAAGAGATATTAGTTGTTAACATTCCCTGATGCTTTGTATTATTTTGGTTTATAATCCTACTCTCAAATAGCATAAAGCATTGCTATCTAGCTGGAAGAATTCAAAACATACCTGCTGCAAAATTATGTTGCAACTGAAGTATGCACACACATAAGGAGAAACAAGAGAGTTAGTACAGCAATTCTCAGTATTGATATCCTGAATCAAACCAGAGATTATGACTATTTATCACTGCAATACTCAAGTCTTTAGCTTAACAGCATCTTATTTTTCTTGTAGGGAGGGCTATAGGCAGGATGTCCAGCATCACGTTCGAGCATTAGCTGTGTCATTTTCAACTGCAGAGTTAATATAAAACAATTATATATACTTGAAAATCAAATGAGTTGATAAAATATATTAATGTTACACTGCTACACACACCCCCACATATATATATGCTACACACACACACACACACACATATATATATATATATATGCCTCTTGGAAACCTCAGAACAGGCAAGAGAAAACAAGGGAGAGAGGAGGATATTGGTGGCTTCAAGTATCAAGACAAATGTAGACTGGATGGAAACATTCAGAGGCCGTTGTCTATCCAGGAGAAGGAAGGCAAAAATCTTAAGGAAGGATTCAAGTCACAAGTGCTTAGAAGACAGGGAAGATGCTTGGGCTATTTCTGCTTGGTATTTACTTTGAGCACTAACCAAGCTATGTGATCCACGGCATGTCTGAAAGTGTTTCTAAAATACAAACCAGCTTTGTTTCATTTGTTGTTATTCTTTCAAGTTATCCAACAGGTTCTGATACTCACAAGGCTCTGGCTGACAGGGCAAAGTCACCTGATGCTTTTTGACACCATCGAACAAGAGTTCTGCACCACCTCTGAAATAAAAACAATGAACCACTGAGATTTTGCTTTATTGTCAAAAGGAAAACAGTACAAAAGAGGCGATTTACATAGATGCCACAACAGAGAAAACAAATGACACAGACTATGTTTAGCACAGGATTCTCTTTGTCTTTTTCCCCCTCTTGCAAACCACAAGTTCATAGGGGAAGTTGCCATCTCCCATCGCCAACACATACAGGAGGCTCCGCTACGGGCCAGAACCCCACGGTGCCAGGCATCACCCCAACAGAACAGGAAGATGGCTCCCATCCCAACACGCTTACAAACCGCCGTGCAGCGTCTCGCCTAACGCCTCCCCTCTCCCTTCAGCTCTCGGCATTGCTTCGCTTCAAACAATATTACAGCCACCACGCTACGTCCAGCATCGCTCATCCCTAACACCTTTTAGCCAGAAGTCTCAAGGCGTTTCACAAAACATGAAAAATCGTAGCATCTTCTGGAATAAATATTCCCCCAGTTTCCACTTGTGAACAGAGAGAGGAAATGACTCACACGAGGTTACACAGCAAGTCAGCTGCAGAGCCAGCAGTCCTTGAGTCCTAGCAACCCTTTCTTGTTCTACATACATTCCCTCTCAGGAGGGACTTGACTGGGAGAAGCAGAGAAACCAACGAGGATGACAAGTTGAAGTAAAAATAAATAAACACACAATCTTCCTCCTCTGAACAACCTGGTGAACATCCGTTTTCTGGTATTCAGAAGGTACTGGGGGACAAGCCTCAGATAACTAAGGGATGGCCTCTGCAAGCACCAGAGATCGTGAGCAAAATATGCAGAGGCTGGCGAGTACAGGAGCTGGTCTTCACACTTGAAAAAAATGGGATTCCAATTGGGTCCAAGTACCTAATCTCCTTAGGCTCTTAGAAAAAACAGTTAATTTTTGTAACTGCAACTCATAAGTCTCAGCATGCTCCTCACCCATATTCCTTTTCTAGAAAAAGAACAATTGGGAAAATCTGGAACTTTACAAACATGTCAGTTTTCCTGATGTTATGAGGCCACAGGCCAAACTCAAGTCTTAGAGGATTATGAAGCTTTATGTGAGTAGGGGCATAGATAATAAACACAAATGCTACTTCAAGAACACAGAAGCAGGCAGTGTAAGCTCTTGACTGAATAGGATAACCAAAGTTTTAACAACTAGGGAACTCTTACAAAACTCAACTCACTTGACACTCAATTGAGTTCAAAAAATGACAAATCCATTTTCAAAGGACATATAATTGTGGCAAAATGTTCTTCCAACTTAAAACGTAGATTAGAAAGATTTTCTTATGAAGTCACTTTCTGGAAACTTATTGGTGCCTCACATCCCTTGGAAACAAACACAATAAAGAGAAGTATTTAAAATAAATAATCCCCACCTAAATATCAACAAAGATACATCCAGACATTACTTAAGTTCCTTTAAATTCAATATCTAAAAATGCCACACTAGGTTTTCTTGGCTCTGCAATGGAAGAGCACAACAGGACCCTTGTTATGCCCTCGGCAGCATTACTTATATGCAGCAACTCTCCTAAAGAGCACTCTGTTGGTGTTCTTCCACCAGCTCACAAAAAATAGTTATCTGAAAATTGAAGCAGCAATTATTAACATGAGCCGAGATTCATGCGAGAGAACAAGCCACAGCAATTATATGAAAAACATTTTTTTATGTAATGAAAACAAGGTCACGCTTTGTTACAGCGGGAAATGTAGATTGCAAGATAAGGTCCTTCTGTAATGCGCTAGCTGTGGGGAACTCAGCTGTGATTTGTACATAGAGAGCTCATTTATGCATTTCCAAGGGAAGCAAAAACGCATCTCACTCTTCTGGGAAAATTAGGAGAGTTACTGCAGCTGGAAGTGGGAAAGACTGAGGAAAGGATTCTTAAGGAGATGGGTATTTAAAGGGTTATGGCATTTCTGTGTTCGTGAAAGGGTGGGAAAAAGCAAATAAACAGTAGCCTTTTAGCTTCTGCTAAAAGGAGGCTTTAAGAAAATCGCACAAGTATTTCCACAAATATGCACAGACTTCCACCGCAAACACTTTTAAGTTCCCAGTGCCAGAGCCTTAGCAATACAGATACTACAGCAAGGAAGACCTGAAAACCGAAATGTCACAAAGCCAGAACCCGGCTATTTTATGCTGAACTAACTGAGACACATGGCAAAGTGAGTGCGCGCGTACACACACATAAACACACACACATATATATCTATGTACAGAGAAAAAAAGCCGAAAAACGAGGAGGTTTTTATAAATAATTTTAATAATTAAAAAAAAAAAAAAAGTTAAAGGGGAGAAAGGAAAGGACATGTACCAGACGCTCACACAGAGACGTAAGCGAGGCCGCGCCGCCGCCAAGATGGCGGCGCCCGTGTCGCTGCAGGTGGAGTTCGGGTGAGCG